TATATGCTGCTCCGCCCTACTCTCCTTCAAGCCTATAACTTTATTAATGAATGGGTTGCAGATAAGAGCTGCAAAAAATTTATTATCTTATGATGTTTGCGATCACTTATTACATCTGGAAAGCAATAAATGATAGACTATTTGGAAATCATTTTAACTTCCATTCCACTATTATTGCCAAAATCAAGAAGGTTATCTCTTAATAAATCTCAAAATGGAAAAATTCTAATGTTTTTCAGCAACTACTTATCTGATCGCTAATGGTTGGGCTATGTGGGTTGCCCTGCAATTACTATGGTGCCTTTCGAATTCTAAAATAATAGGTGGTGTTTTTTGGGTCTCTAGAGGGTCTTTTTAGATGCCAGAGATCTTTTTATTAAGGATGATGATGAAGGCTGGTTTATCTATACTTTCCCTTGGATGGTCGGCTTTGGAAACCAGGGGACTCCTTTCATCTTTCAAGATGTTTTACTGCCAGGGATTTATTACTCCTATGCATCCTAAGTCCTTGGTTTCTCTTTATCTTCCCACTTTCTCTTTACTGTTAATTTGTTTTGGTTGTTATGTAGCCTTAGCTGATAAGTTTTACAATTTTTTTCCCTAATTTTGTTTAAGATTTCCTTCTTATTACAATTTTCTTGTATCAAAAAATTTGTTCTTCTGCCCCAATTTTACCCAAAAGAAATGTTTAGGTGAATTAGGGAATTATGCTAGTTTTGTTTTTTTGTTGAGATTAATCATTACTAATTGAAAATATCATTTGGTAAATTTTTATACAAAATTCAGTGAGGCTATTTTCTTAAGATATTCCTCCATAGGAAGCACTTATCAGTTATTCAACAAAATGATACTAGTAGTAAAGAAATTAAATCATGTCATGTTTGATGAGACCAAAAGGGCTGTACTGCCAAAATATGGAAAAAAAAATAGATGATAACAACACTAGAATTGAAACATTTTGAGGATAGAGTTTAAAGTAATAAACCATTATTGAGGGATTGGAGGTGTGCATCAATTCATCATAGAGATTAGGTTCTAGGATACCATTCTATTTAAATTTAATTTAGCATAATATTAGATGGAAGAATAGACATATCAACTTGACATAAATAATAATAGAATAAATTATGCTATGAAAGTTGAATTTGGTATCATGGTTATGCTATATTAGTTAAATCAATTGACCAAAAATTATGGTTAAGAGCTAATATCTAGACCATCTTATCAGAGTTTCATTGAAACTAATGTGTATTCAATAATTGTAAAATACAATGGAATCTATAGTTGTAAGAAAAACATGACTAGTAATAAAAGGTTATAATAAAATAGAAGGCAAAGATTTTGAGTAGACTTTTTCACCAGTTGTTAGATTAGAAACCATTAGAGTTATCTTAGCATTTGCATATTTTAGAGTCTTGAAAGTGTATTAAATGAATGTAAAGATATCATTTTTGATTGGAGTCATAAATATAATTTTATGTTGAACAACCACTTGGCATTGAGAGTGCTTCATTTCTTGGTCAAGTCTTTAAATAAAAAAAGACTCTTTATGACTTCAAATATGAACCTAGAGCTTGGCATTACGAACTTAACATATTTCACTTAGAAGAATCTTTAACTAATTGGACCATCAATGCCATATGATTCATTAAGAAGATAGAGTAACATATCCTAATAGTTTAGATTTTTGTAGGCAATATTCTATTTCAATCGATAAATGATATATTATTTGAAGAATTTTCATCTAACATGAGAAATGAGTTTGATATTACTAACATCAAAGAACTAACCTATTTCGTAGGATTCAATATGAAATAAATAAAAGATTATACATTTCTTAATCAAACTAAATATATTTAAGAACTTATCATAAAGTTTAATATGGAAGCTTACAAAAGTGTGAACACCACTATAAGACCTACAAAATAACTAGAAAAGGATCCAAGTACTAAACACATACAAATGAAACGTTTATAGGAATAATATGATTGTTTTTATATCTAACTTCTCGTAGATCGAACATTATGTTTAGTATGTGTGCTTATGTGTTTGCTTTCTGGCATAACCCAAATAATCACTTTAATTAAATGGAAACAAAAAAAAATTAATATCTCAAAGAGAAGACCTATCTGAAGTATCTAGTATTCTAGGAATATCTTGGCTTTTATATTTATTGTATACTCAGATTCAATTTTTTTAACCAATAAGGTAGGTAGGAACAACATATTAGAAACTTATGATTTTTTTTTTTATAACCATTAGTACTCAAGACTATTGTATAATGTATAATTCAGTAGCCTAATTCACATTAGAGGAATAATACATAGTTGTAAATAGATTTATTGCCCATGTTTTTTGGCAAAAGTTACAACATGATTTTGGTTTCTAACTAGATACTCTCCCCATTATGTGTGATAATACTAGTGCGATATTGATAAAATAGAATCTAATTTTTATATTCAAGTACAAATCAAATTCAAAAAGGGATCATTTCATAAGGGACCTTATTTCAAAGGGGGGATATAAACATTCAGTTCATTCATATAAATAATATATTGGTAGACTTACTTATAAAAGAACTTAATTATGCAAGATTTAGTGCACCTAGAACTATATTACCAGTAATTAATTTGTGTCTAAATATTTATATTATATGATACTCATGTTCATATGGAAAGGATAATTTTCCATGCACATAAATTTATATTATATAATACACATATTCGTATGGAAACGATTTAGTGCACCTAGAACTTTTTTTTACATCTTACTATACAATACACATTTATACTTTATGATACATATTGGAAAGGATAATTTCCTATGCACTTAAATTATATTATTACTTCTTTGAATGAACTATAGAAAGTATTTATATTATATGATACTGATGTTCATATGGTATGATACATATCATATAACTTGATAAAATAGAAAAAAATTATAGGAATTTAGGCTGATTTAACTAATTGTACTATACAATTCGTAGATCATACTATATGATCTGGCCAACACTATTTGTGAACAACATTTTTTAGGATTTCTTTTAGAAGTGTAATATAAATTAAAGAACTAAGAAACCCAAGAGAGTTTTTCTAGAGAGCTTTAATAGAGTTCTCTTGATTTTCCAAAATTCTTGAGAATCATTTAGAATGGTTGGGGAGAGAGATTGGAGATACTTTTGATAGATATTCTGGTTGGGACCAAAAGGGTTTAGTGAGGATTCACCAAAGATTATCTAGTCAAATCTAACTTTTTTATCATCTAGATTGTTGTAAAAGCCCTTGGAGAAGGACATGTGAGTCTTGGTGTTGAGACTTGAATCTAGCCGAAGAGGCAAGGGCTGCAGGCTTCTAGAGGAGGGATGTGGTATAAGGGTTTCTCCATTACCAATCTTCTCTGCCTTAGTAGGAGCATAAGGTGAGAGTAGTAAAATTCCTTAGAAGAGTACTTGAGAAAAGGATGTAGATTAAGAATCTTAAACTATAATAAATCTTACTTGCCATCCTTACTTTAGTGTTTAATTTCTTGCATTTTTTTTTCTTACAATGTATTTTTTAAATACTCTATTATGAAATAAATGTTGGAGATCTAACTTAAAATTAAAGAAAAGAAATTTCGAATGTGTAAATTTTTCTTTTTTTAGAATCACAGACCAATTTTTAAAAAAATCATTGCTCTTGTTTTATTAGCTTAATCTTTAAAAAAAAATTCAACAATTCTTGTTATTTTTTTTATTTCAGTTTATTTTGAAAATTTAAAAAAAAAAATTGTATTTTAATTTATAAACCATTCCACATAGAGCTAAGATATTTTATGCACACAAAAGATGCCCCACTTGAGTGTGACATATGGTTTAGATTTGCATCAAACTTGTCATGGAACTTGTACATGTTTTTTATTGGTTAAGTATCGAAAATTCATAAGAGATTTTTGCAACGTGAAGAGCTTGTTTTGTGTGCAGTTTTCTTAGAACGATGGTTAAAATTTTAGAACATGTGCAAATTTTTCTTATGTAGGTTATAAAAAACAACAAAATTTTAAAAGATACTTAAATATTATTGCATATCTTTTTTGGCATGATGAGATAAATGACCCCTGATCAGGACGTTTTTCGACACCATCGATGCTGACCGTTGTTATTGTGGTTGGCATCGAGAGGATAATAAAGTTTTGACTTATCATACATAAACTAAACAAAACATAGGGGAATTTTCAATATTAATAAAAAAAATGCTAATAAATAAACTAAAAAGTTAATTGTAATGAAATTTATAGGAGATCTGTGAATTTAATAAAACAAAAATATCGTTTGATAATGTACCCAAGAAGATTCCAATTGACCTTAAATGCTATGAATCCACAAGACAAACATGCTTAAGTTTACATAAGGGACATTTAAAAATAATTATAATAAATAAATAAATTTTTGTATGCCATTCAACCATAGACTTCTGCAAAAAATAATTAAATTAAGATATTTTAAGAAATTATGCATGCATAAAATATATGCAATTATAAATATTTTGTGCAACAGTGACCAATATCTAAAAGAGCTTACAATCACCATTAAAAGCATGCTACCACCTCAACAACCATGAGACAGTCTCAAGGAGTGTATTATTTCCATGAGAAGCATATATGCTTCTTGTTTGAAGAATGTATGAGATCTTCAAGAGCCTGTAATCACTTCAAGAAAATACCATTGTAATAAGAAACATATTCTGTCATGGTATATCATCATAAGATACGCTTATCACACGTATGAAACTATTCTTTACTATCATCATAAGAAACATATTCCGGACTGAAAATATATTTTCAGCATTTGCATGCTTACCTCATACTTGGACATGGTCAATTTCAAAATTCAAAGAATTTAAGATAACGACAGATTTTCGAATAGTAGGCAAAAATATTCTCGAAAATATACTTCCTGCTTAATATCTTCTCAACCAAGCGCAGACAAAGCGCATCAATGATTAAACCATAGGAACAAATAATATTATTAAACTGGAGAAAATCAGATACAAACAAAAGTTTCATCTCTATCACCAATCCCCTTTATGCAAAGCAAACCGACAAGCTGAGAAAGAAACCCCACAAACACACAATAGACTTGTATATCAACACTCTTCTAAAAACTCTCGCTGTGTGATCACTATATATGGAATGAAAATAACACAAACAATAAGTAATACATACAAAATCGCAGTCAACATATATTGCAACACTACTCTCATGTTTATGCCACACACAATCTAAACATCAATTACTCGAAACCAATCACGATTCTTGAGGACGATATCATACATGTGCATCGATTTGAAGCGATTGAACTCACGAGGAAGTGAGATTAAATCGATGGACGAGCGCTTATGGAATTGTAGAAGGTCTGGATCTTCATAATACCGTTCCCAACCAAGGTTGATGAGCTTGCACTCGAGCGAAGCATAAGAGCTTATCACTTCATTTGTAGGAGTGTGAAGCAACGCTTTGCGCTTCATCGTTGATGATTGTTCGTTTGCTGGATTTTCAACCAGCCTCACCACCCCATTTTTAAACTTCCAAACTCCTGACATCTTAAGTTATTTGATGGCGTAGCTAGCTATTATATATGAATTAGCTAGTACAGTAAGTAGTCTATTGTCAAAAAGGATGGAATATTAGTGGATAAGGAGAGAGAGAGAGAGAGAGAGAGAGAGAGAGAGAGAGAGAGAGAGAGAGAGGAACAATGTTTTAAGAGGAGGGCTGAATGGTTGTAAATATATATAGATGAATTAAAGGTAGCATACATACGTGGGGTTGTGATCTTCAGGGACAAAATTGATTCCCATTAGTTAGATAAATCTTTGCCTTACTAAAGATCTCTATATGCAGGTGTTGGTAAATATTTATTAAACTATATATAAATAAATAAGGATAGAATATGAATATGAAGCCAAGTCAATACATATGACCTTCAAATCATATGATCATATAAACTGTTACAATCACAAAGTGTTCGTTTGGATTGAGTTGTGATTTGTTAATATTTATCATTTTTTTTATTACTTATGCATTTTTTTTTTAATCGATGTTCAATTTCTATGGTTAATAACTAAAAGTGATAAGCTTAAATTTGATTTATTTTGATTGAACGTCGCACATTTATGTAGCTTCCGAACACTATAAGACCATTATTCCAGAACTAAAGATTATTTGACAAATTATAGTTGCGTTTGAATTGGATTTTTTGTAACTTGAAAATTGATCAGTCAGTGATGCAATGAGGATTTAAAATGCTGAAAAATTTAAAGATTTATTTTAAACTGTAGGGAAAAATCTTTCATGCAGTGTATAAATATACAAATTTATAAAAGAATCTTCTACAATTTATATAAATATTTACAAAAAAGTTTATATTAAATATAAGAATCAGGGTGAGGACAAGCCTTAGCGCTTAAGTAGCTTGACTATTGATTTAAATGTCCAAAAATTTAATTTTATAATCTAAAATCAAGACAATATATTAAATCTAAACCCTACTTGAAACTTACTATGTGAAAGGATCGCTACAAATCCTGCCTTCCTACGGGGAATATAATGATTGTTACACAATATAATATAAGTGAGTGCATAACTAACGGTTCAAAAATATCAGTAATTTATTTGCTAGGTATTAGTTTGGCATGGAATCATGCATAAAATCCCGATAGACTAAAGCTGATTGCCAAGGACAATACGTATTCTGATGTAACCAAAGGGATTGGATGATGAACTTGGCTTTTTTGTTGGTGGGAATCACATCACTTAATCGATAATCCATTTAACTCTACAATATTCGATGTACATCCATCAGATAAAAGCTCATGATGCCTTGAGGAGCAAGCTTAATATTATGCCTCATTTGGTTGATTGAAGTTATAAACACGTTTTTTATAAGTTATAAAATTCCATAAATTTATAATTTGGTTAAATGTTAATAAAATTTTCTCTTTATTCGGAATTTCATAAAGGAAGCTGAACTCTATTAAAACTTAATGATTCCATTTCTCCAATAAGGAGGATCAAAATAAAATTAAAATTGTCTTTTTTTTTTTTTTTTGAAGCAACCTAATGAGCCTTTAATTGCTTCAATTACATAAGGAGCACTTTTGCAAATGATAATACGACTGTACAATCATAAATATAATACAATCACTAAAATTGTTATATTTCCCCCCAAAAAATGTAAAATTATAATTTTGCCTTATGACAATGATATTGCAATCTTTAATTATAAATATTCACCATAGTCAATTTATTTATAACCCAAATGCAAAATAATTTTATTTTTTTTTGAACGAAATATTGAGCTTTTTATAATTTTGGCTTCTAACTATTCATACCATTCTTATAATAATATGTATATTTTTAGCACATTTTGGGCTGTTTAGTTATGATTTCCTTGTTGCCGATTGTGCTGTGAAATTAATCATCATCATATTAAATGCGGATCAATTTTTAGATAAATTGTCGAGGAACCAAAGAGCCTATCAATCTTGTTAAGGAGGTCCATAACATATATTTAGCACTGAAAGTTGAAAAAGAAACTGCTTGAGAACTAGCGGCTTAATTGAAAGACAACACAACCTTTAATCACAACATTTACAAATTTAAATTTGGAAATGTAAAAAAGTAGTCGTTTTTGGGGATGCTTACCTAACTTCGTATATTATTTTGGTGAAGCTAGTCTAAAACTTGTCCATCTCAAACTCAATTAATAACGACAGAATTAAGATGTAATAAAAAAGTAAGAAAAGTTTATCAATCCTATTTTTTTAGAGATGGAATAAATTCTCTATGTTGAAGTCAAATTTAGTCATGGGTGGTATTAGATCCTACTTAGTGATAAGCACACAGATATAAGAGATTTCTTCAGTTCTACTACTACTAGCTCAGAAGGATATCAAACAAATGATTGAGGATAAGGTAAGGAAGGCCTTTGCCCATTCTCAATGGACCACATCTATTCCGAAGGGTAAACCTTACCCCAAAGAATATAATTTAGTCCCTTATTCGAAAGGATTTGTCCCAATATCATTTAACATTTTTACCAGTTTTGATAACCCAAGAGATCCTCTAGCCTATTTATGAGTGAGCTATTGCAACAAAAGAGGGTGAATCCTGTACTTTTTCGTCAATTTGTTAGTAGTCTTTGTCATTACTTCTGAATGGTATGTCAGTCTACCCAATAGTTCAATGAGAACCTTTATCGAGCTAGAAAATCCATTATTAAAGGGATTTTTAAATAGATTTTCTTGTGCTCAATAGCGTACAACTGTGGATGATCTAGTCGTTGAAAAGCAAAAGCCATGAGAGTCTTTGGTCAAGTACATCCTGAGGTGTCAAAACATCTCGACAAAGTGTGAGCCGTAGTTGTAAGAGAAACATGAAGTGGAAATTCTTCTGAAATATATCCACGAGCCTATTGCTTTACCTTTGATTGGATTGATCATTAAAACTTTTGAAAAGGTTCTTAACAAGGCTAGTAACATGTAAGAATAGGCTTCTCGAATGCCATTCTTAAAAGATCTATCCTATGAGAAGAATTTCACCATCGCCAGTGAACTCCTTTGAGAGGAGATCAGCCACGATCTCAGTAGCAGATAGGGGAAAACAACTAATGGAAAGTCAATCGAGTGCTCCCACACCGCAACCAATTCAAATACAGCCATTCCAAGTGGCCCATCGGCCCACTAGGGGCTCTTACTTTATCCCTTTTAAAGACATACTAGCAAATCCTTATCCTTTTAAAAAGGAGTCAATAAGAAAGATCTTCAAGAGTCTTTTAAAGAAACCATATTTCATAATGCTGGAGACTAGGAGTCTGAAAGAGGGAAACAGGAGGGATGATCCCAACTTTTGGTCCTACCACTGTATGTTGGGCCACACGATCGAGGACTGTGTTATTTTTATGGATTGGTTTGAGAGGAACTTCAAGTAAGGAAAAATTGTCATTTTTAAAGAATATCTCGTAGATCCGAAAAGGGATCAGTCAAGACAATCTCATGTAATAATTCTAACTCTTCTCTGTCCATTGAAGATGGTTGAGATATTGTTTTATCTCGGGCATTCAAAAAGTCAATTAACAAGTCTTTTTATCTTTCTCAATAGTTGTCGATGAGAGCCCGGGTCCTGATATAGGAGGTTGACCTAGATGCTTCACAAGAAGATGTTAAACTTCTTTCGTCTTTAGTGGTTATCAGAACTACTATATTACATAAAAAAGTTGAGTGATATTTTTGTAGAGAGGAAATGGATAGATAATATATGTATTCAAGTTGTGGATAGTGGCATGAAAACCCTATCCCCGCTTTTATAATATGCATGACTTTTACTTTGCCTAATCAAAGACAAAGAGTCAAAAATTAAATAAAAAAGATCCTTATGTGTCTATTTTATTTAATAACCATGAATTGCAAAGTGACACTTCTTCAAAAGATAATCAAAATCCAATTGAGATTGTTTAAGAAACTAAAAATTTGACATTCTGAATTTGACTTCCAAAGAGGAATAAGCACAAGAGATCTTATTAGATAGCGACCTCTCCAAAATTAATTCTTATGGGAGTCTTATCATGATAGATTTTTTTGATTCATAAACTTCTCTAAAAAATGATGATGCACTACCTACAAAGAGCACTAACCCCACCCTAGTTTGTCCTCCTAATTAGTTTGTAGAGGTACAACTTTGTGGTAAGGTATTACGCCCTAAGCTTTCACCCTAGGAAAAAGTCAAGCAAGTTGTCGCTAATGATATAATTTTAAGTTCTACCAAAAAAAAATTCTTCTTTCAAATCTAGTAGGTCTCAATCTTGATTTTTTTTTTTGTTTATACCCACGGAGGGGCCTACGTGTTAATTTCAAAATACGGTTACAAAGTCCTTAGAAGGACCCACCAGCTCGCTACTACTCCGGAGAGCTACAATCAAAATGAAAATAAAAACCCTAAGAGCCGATGGTTCCAAAAATAACAAAAATAGGACTTGGGCTGTGAGAAAATAGCACCCAAAAAAGGAAGATCTGAATAAACTCGTTCAGCTCTGTCTTCCTGCAAAAAAATAGAAAAACAAAGGAAAAAAATGCAAAAAAAAGTGTCAGTGAAAGTCTAGTGAGAGAAAGTCTGAGAAAGTGATCGGGAATTTTGAATTTCCTCTTTCGCGGGTTTGACGGAAGCAGGATGACGGCTGATTCTCGCCGAAATCCTTCTACCGGAGGATTCCAATTTGATCGGTTGACGGCTTCCAAGCTTCCGATGATGGCGAACAAATCTTATTCTTCATCTCCTCCAGCGTTTGGGGATGGAAAGTTAAATCTGAAGCAGACGGTAAGAGCGAAAACCAGAGGTATGAATTTTGTTATAAATGAAGGCAGATTTGTTGATAAGAAGGATGACGAAGTTTTCGGTAAAGGCAAGAATGTTTGCACGGATGAGAAAGTGAATAAATTCAAATTTGATTCAGAACTGTTGATCAATGAGAACTTTGAAGCATCTCCCTCAATTATGCTACCGAATCAGAAGATTATACAATCAGAGGAAGTTTTTGCTTATGGAATAATAGATAATGATGTCTCAATCAATAAAGCAGTCTCACCTCCAATCAAAGACACATTAATGTTCCAAGAAATGGTCTCAGAAAAGG